CTGGCTACAGGAACAGCTTCCCACATCTACGGGAGGCCGTGGCTGCATTCGCCGGGCAGATGCAACCTAAGGCACAAAGAGCCCGTTCACCCGCCACGGCACTCGCGGGGCCGGCGCCAAGCGCGTGCGGAGCTGGCGGCGACGGCGGGGGAGCGGCACGGATGATCCCGCTGTGGCTCTGCCGCAGCTGTACGGGGGGTTGTAAAAGTGCTGCTGCGTTCAAAGACAAATTTCAATCATTTGTGTCTTTAGGCAAATAAAGACAAACTAGTCACAGTCGTTATGAAAACGAGCTTACCAAAAGGGAACAACCATCCATGACATTCCACGCTATTAAACTTATTTTTTAACCTTTAATTTCTAAACAAGATTCCAAACGTGATAATACGTATTTATTCAGCAAACATTCCTGCAGAAAACTCTAAAGGTCATGTCAGGTTAATTTGTAACTGGGACAGTCAGGAATGACATCAACTGCTTTAGCGTGAAATCATTAAATCATTGGGCCACTCTTAGAACATTATTTCCCTAAATAATTTCCGTTAAGTCCTTGCCTGCCTTTTCATAAGGCCTGAGTGAAGATATTTTCTGCAGAGAACAGTTACTGGAGAAGCCAGAAAAATAATCCAAACTTGCTAGATAACAACGCACACATCTAGGATGAGATTAAATGAACCGTCCTGCTTTTATCTTTGGAAAATACCAGATCAGAAAACACAATCTTCCAGTTCAAATTCTTCTTTTTAAAACCTGCATGGATAAGCCGAGACAGCAGAAACCGAGAGATAATCATGAAGTTTCCATGAGCAATGATAAATAAATCCTCCACTTTTTCCTTCCGAGATGTGGCTCTTGGCTAGTTTTCCCTTCTCCAGGAGGGCACAGCTCCGGGGCTCTGTCCTGTCAGTACACAGAGGTGGGAGGTTCAGCCTAGCTGCACTCAGTTCTCACCAACATGGGAACTGGGAGCTATATCCTTGGAAGAAAGGTTGAATTGTGCTTTCTTACATGATCATAAAACATGAGGCCCGAAGCCGGCTCAATCCGTAGCCTTTGGGCACAGCTTCAAACCTAATGCACTTTTACACTTTCACTGCATCGTTGCACAAACGTACGCCAAATAAAACACAACGGGTCAGGTGCAAAGACAAACGAAAAGCACGTTTCGTGCCCTGGTTCAATGCTTCTGCAGCCACCGAACTCGCTCGCCCACAGCAGGATCTTAACGGAGCAGGTGGCGACATTCGGGCTAGAGGGGCTGGATGCTGCAGAATTAACGGTAGGTGAAATAAATATTTAATGTGGCTTCTGAAGGGTGACAGTGGGATTACACTCAGTCACAGAGAAAATGCAGGATTGAGTTTAAAAAAAAAAGTCAGTGCAAACCGTGCCTCTACTCAGAGAGCGAAAGGCAGATTTAATGATTTCACAAAAACAGTCAAAACCACACACAAGTGAGGGTATGTATTAGCCAAAGTACTTGTAAGTATCAACACTTTTAATTTCTTTTGTGCCACCTTAAAGAGGCTGCCACCAGAATAACCACATTAAGAAAAATGCAGCAGCCACAGTTTTGCCGCAAGATCGGGCTGTGCCCGATCCCAACCAGGGCAGTTTTCCCTGCTCCCAGGTCGCCGGGAATTTCTTCGCTTACTCCCAGCCTCTGAGCCACTGCAATGCCCTGGCACAAAGTCTGCTGTTACTCACCTCCTCCGTAGTGGAGAAAACCCCATAGGGGAGATTTTGGAGCGGGAAATCTGAGTCCTTGTCCACCCGGATGAAGGACATGCCGAGCACCCCGCAGCCCCCACTGACGGTCCTGAGCCCCCACCACTCCCCTGGGCTGCTCCGCACCTTCCCAGGAGGACGATCGTCTCCCGATGTCATAACCCAGCACACAGGAGCACGAAATCCCACCCTCCGTCCCAAACCAATGGCAGATCTGCCTCCATCCCACTCCCCACCCCCCCAACCCAGCAGCCAGGAACAGGTGCCAGAGGTCGGCCTGAGTCAGCAGCCGGTCGCTGTTCCCGCCGAGGTGAGGCACAGACTCCTCCGCTCCGCACACTGGGATTTAATGGGTACATCGCGGGGCAGGGGCCCCAACCAGACACCTCTGACACCAGACCGCTCCGAGACCAGTGGTACCCCCCGCTCAGCTACTTTCTGAGGCATCATTGATGTGCCAGAGGGATGGTGGAATGATTATGCCACCTACCCCAACCCCAGTGGTTCTTCCAGCAGCTCAGCATCCCCTGGGGAATTGCTCAACTCTCACCTGAAACCACATTTTGTGAGCTTTTCAGTTTCGGGTAATGCCGCACGCGAGTCCTTCCTTTTTCTCCAAGTAGCTCCAGCAGCTTACAACCAGAGTATGTCTGCAACCAGGCATGGAGAGGTGGGAGGGGAGGCTGGTCCTTCTGCTTCCCTCCACCTGCAGGAGAAGATTCACCCGTATGCAAGAAAAAGCAGAAACCAATGAGGGAATATCTATGAAATTAGAACTGAATAGCAACAACCGCTCCTTTTCAATAAAAATGGTTAGTTGCTTGTGACTGCCAAGCCAAAGAACTGATTTCTTACTCAAATTTTTTTCTTTGGCAGAGAAGACTCATTAGAAGAAACGCAGCAAGCTGTAGAGCCAGATATTGGGTGTAAGATGACACAATGCTATTGACAACAGCCCATCTGTGACAGCTCTGCACTCCTGAGGACACAAGCTCACATGGTGCTTTTTGAAAGGAGGGGTCTATATTTAAATAATACAGCCCTGAGCATGGACTCCTGTAAAATCTCCTCTAATTCCTGTACTTAAGGTACCACTCCATTCCACCGATCGTTGGAAGTGTTTTTAATTCATTTTTAATTATTTTTTTTAAAAGAGGTTTCATGCCAAGGTTGTAGGACTCCAGTGCATAACCTGCTTATTCCAAAAATGAAATAAACATCTTGAAAGCACGTTTCAAATACACACTGTGCATCTTGAGAAGACAGATTTACTCAAGTGTTGTGCAGTGCTGTGAATGTGCTGGTATTAATTAAAATGTTCATCTGCTAACCTCAAGCTGATGACACAAAATATAGAGCTTCACTAGTTACCCAGATTGAGAAGATCAACCACCGTAACAACACAGAGCCAATGCCAAAGCAAACAAAGATGACAACACAATTCTCAAGTGTCAGGGAAAGGTGGGTTTCTAAACACAAGCTCACAATCAGGACCATAC